ATCCATCCACCAACCATGTCAATAAACAAATAGCTATTACTAATGTAAATTGCTTCGTCCAATGAACACCAAACAAACCTTGTATTTCTGTGCTAGAAAAGTGGGTTCAGAATTGTGATAGCAGTGGTTGTTTAATAAAAAATATATTAAAAAAAAATTTTAAAAATTATTTTTTATATTAGTATATTAAAATAATTTTTAAAAAATAAAAAAAATATTTTAAATAAAAAATTAAAATTTAAGGAACCCATATGATTTTACACCCGCTCAAGTATCTCTCCCGCACTGGATTTAGGGTATAAATTTCTCAAAGGTTTCTTGGTGAAGGGGATTCAACTCTCCACGTTTTCTATCATCTATTTCTATATATCTTATAAAAACCTAAAAAGCTTTAATAGTATTAAAAAATGATATCAATTCATAAAGAAACTATAGTGTTTAGGTGATTTTTTTAAGGTTTAAGTTATTCTTTGACACATGTTTCGGGATTTGAAGTCATTTAAACTATTTTTATTTTTATTATTAAAATTATAATTATAATATTATATTAAAGAATAAAAAAAATTATTATTTAACAAATACCCTCTTCTTTCAAACATGATATTGACTTCTCATTGGGTGTCTCAAAAGGAGCTCTCTATGTTTGAAGAAAAATAGTATATCATCACAGCAGCCATCTTTGAAGTGTCTTCTCGATCGCCATCTTTCATAAGGGACTTATCACATTTGCTTGGCAGCATGTTATGGTCCCGAGTGTTTCCGGATGTGCCATATGGATATTTAAGAAAAAAAATTGAGCCTACCATTTTTAAACCACTCTCGAATCTTGAGAATTCTTGTTGTTAATGCCATTAACAGTTTGCTCGGGAGCTATGGTACATGCACTGCTTCTGGATCAGGGGTGCTGGTGACTGACAATGACTAATTAATATCATGACAGAAAAGCCAGTTGTATATACGCTACTTGTGTCCAAGAGTGGGGCTACATCACGACTTTATTCGGTGACTTCTTAGAAAGGGGGTTAAATTCACGGTACATGGTATGTGGCAATGGAACTATGTTGCTCGGGAAAAGTAACTACAGAGGTGATGGACATTAAAGTCAAAAATGATGAGTTCTCGGCAGCCTAGTTTGATTTTTTGGTTGTCTATATTTTCGAAATCTCACTCCATAGACTGCCTTTTCAAAATCAATATATTATTCGAACCGATTGCCAGGACAGGAAATATCAAACCATTGGTATCTGTAGTGTGTGTGTATATATGGGGCATTGCGGTGATTGTTCATCATCCAAAAATACTAGTAATAATTTATTTCATTACCAGTTAAATCTTTATATCGTCTTTATAAGGACGACTGGGACAATAAAAAATCTTTTTAGAGCTTTAATAGCCAACTTATTCTTATTATTTTTTCATGGAGAGTCAAAAATAGGATATGACAGTATCTATAAAATAGAAACCCTATTTTTGTTTCCCTTGTACAATGTCTAATTTGGTATTGAAGATCTAATTATAAGACAGACAACAAAAAAACATTTTATGTTTGGCAATGAAATTTCACAATCAATAAGGAGCTATAGAGGAGATATTACAATATGCTATATTGCGAGCTCAGAATCATGCTATAACCATGAGCACTACACAAGTGCACGAAATTAGACATTGTACAAGGGATAACAAAGTTTCGCCTTATTGAAACACACACACCTACAAACTAAGAAGAAAAAACAAAGGCTAAGGAACACTTGACTAATTACAATGGAAGAGTGCGAGAGAGATCGGGAGAATACTCGTTAACAATTAATCTTACAAAAATTATTCCTAAAAAACATAAAATCTTTTATAATAACATATATATTTATTAAACATACTCAATGGAAGAGTACTTTTTGAGGAAGGAGAGCCAAGAATAATGCGATGAAGGTGGAGGCAACGTTGATGTTAGTAATTACGTTGTGGTGGTGGAGGGTAACGAGGGCTATCATAGGTATGTGGTGGTGGAGGAAGACTAGGATGACGGAAATCATTGACTTTTGGTGGTGGTGGTCTTGGAGGAGGAGGAGGAGATTTTGGACGATAAGGCCGAAATGGGGGTTTTGGTTTTGGATGAATAATAGGATTGTTTTTTGGTGATGGTGGTGGTGGTGGTCGACGTCGTAACGAGGCATTAACCATGCAACTGGTTTGTGATAGTATCATCCCATGAAAAATGATGAATGCCAACAAGTAGGAATAGATTTCCATTGCTATTGTGGCTGCCTGCCTGTGTCGAAACTCAAGATGATAGTGCTTTTTATAGGAAGATGATCAGAGGCATGCAGTTGTTGATGGTAATGAATTTGGACAAAGCTCAAGTCAAGTCTACATGTACTCTGGAGCCTCAAGTTCTCACGCGTTAGAACATTCAAAAGTTGAGACTTCGAAGACTTGCTATTCCTATCTATTTCGTTGAGATTTTTTTGGCAGAAGAACCTAAAAAGAAAGATCGTTTTTCCCTTCCAATGAATTCTAATTTCCCTCTTCTTTTCCGTGATAAATGACAAGGTGTAATCATAAGAGTGATGCCGAGTACATCGATGCAGCTATAGGATGTACGTATATGGGAAATTAATTAGTTTACCAAATGGATATTTCAAATAAGGTAATACAATAGATCAGAAATAGTTAGCTGTAGCCTATGTCCTCTCACTCCACTGCAGTTCGGGTAAATGTTTTTTGAAAAATAAAACAAATGCAAGCGTTGGCAAAGCTTTTTACACCATGAAAACAAGTTATAATTATGAATAGAAAAGATATTATATATGTTTAATAAAATAATTTGAGAATTATATACATCAAGAAATTAATGATAAATCAAATTTAATGCTAACCAAAATCTGAGCCAGTAAATTAAGATTATGATGATGCGCATTAAGATACTAATAATTACATCAATCATAAAGTTCTCTAATTTTTTAATTTAATTTTAATATTTAATTATATAATATTAAAATTATTTCTCCAGAAAAAAGTAATTATTTCAACTCTATTATGACGAACTTACTAGAATAATTCCATATTTTCTTATTAACATTTTAAAAAAATTATAATTAGTATAAAATAAAAACATGGCTTAATTTTTAAAAAATATTTAACATAACAACTTTTTAAAAATACATTGAGATGCTATTAGAGTAGATTGATCTTAATCATCTTGTGAATGAGGTGATGGATTCTACTAGATTTAATATCTTAGTTCTTTTTATAAACTATTTCTATTTAATTATAAAAATAAATACTAACAAAATCAAGCATCAAATATAAAATAGATTTTTATTTTAAATTATAATAACCTTAAAAAACAAACATATAAAAATAAATTATGATATATATTTTCCAACTAATCTAATATTAAATAAGGGTAATATAAAAAAATTAACTAAAAAAATTTAAGAACTAACAACTAAAATAAAAATATATCGAATTTAAAAAGTAAACCTGTCAAACTTAGGTTAATATTTCAAACTAATAAATCAGGTCATGGATTTTATTGTGATTTTTTAAGATTTGTTAATTAAAAATATATTAAAATAATTATTTTCAAGATTATTTTATTTTTTATTTTAGTAAATTTAAAATATTAAAAAATTTAAAATTTAAATAAATAATAATTTAAAAAACACTTTGTGTTACCGAATGGAATGGGTATAGCAAAACTTAAGACTATTTATTGCATGATGAAAGGAATATGAAACGACTAGGGTGACTCGTCAGAGGAAAGAGCAAAAGAAACACAATAAGATTAAAAATCAGTCAATCTAGCAAAATATAAAAATAACCAAAATAACATGTATGAATATAAAAAAGAATATAGTGGAGGAAAAGATCGGTGATGATGATGAAATAAAAATAATGATTAAAATAATTGATGAAATAAAAATAATAATTAAAATAGTTATAGGAGTACTATTTATAAAATATTTTATAAAATTTTATGAGATCTAAATATTTTTGAATTTATAATTGACTGTAAAATATTCTTTAGAAACAAATACATGAAAATCTAGAAAATATTTTCTTGTAAAATATTTTAAGTAAAACAAACTCTTAATTTTTTATTATTAAAATCTAAATAAATACTAAATTGGACATGTATTAACATGGGAAAATGAAGTAAATAGATTACATATTAAATTATTAAATCACGTAAAAAATATGTATACTATCAAGAGTTTTTTTTTCGAATTGTTTTATATATTTTAGGAGAAGGTAAAATGGACAAAATGTTTTTTTAATTTTTAATTTTAATTTACTTATAATATTTTTTACACAAGAGTAATAATTGGCAAATATTTATTATCAATAAGTAGCTTCATATAACCATAATTAATTATATATTTATACTTTTTTTATTATGAAGTTTGTCAATATATATATATATATATATATATATATATATATATATGATATATCTCAGATATAATTCTTTAGCATTTCATGAGTCGTTTTGTATTAAAAAAATCTCAAAAAGTTTTTTTTTCTTTCATTTGCTATCATGCAAGGAGCACAAAAACATTCTTAAATCATGAACATTATGTTGATAAATTATTAATAACCAAATCCTAAAAATATATTTTTAAAAACAAAATCTTGAAAGATGCTCAGTAAACAAACCAAAAATTATAACATATAACTAATTTTTATACGATAAATCAACAAGAAATAAAAATAATACATAATTATTGAAAATCAATAAATAAATTTAAAGCTTCAGCATTATTAATAAGCATAACCAAGAAATAACTTAAATTTGTATGGGCAAGTCCAGTCGTTCCATTCAACAATTTGTTCCCTATTTGCTTACAAAAAAAAAAAAACGAATCTTTTACTTATTTTTGTGTTCATAAGGTTTTTTAAAGGAAAAAAAACAAGGTTAAATGTGAGCTTGCGAAGCCACCAACGACTTAAGACTTTTGAGGATAGAGTGGCGTTAAGTGATTGGCCTTATGCTTGTAGCATTAGCTCACAACCAAACATAGGATCTTGGTCAAAATTAATTTGTATTTGGATCAAAGACATCTGAAAATGGAATCCGACTTGAAAATGCCAAGATTTTCCTAGTATATTATATTGCAACAAGAGCACGAGCTATCCACATGCATATTCCTCTCATACATGGTTAAATCTTGAAACGTGCTTTTCTAAAAGAGCCAAAAACAGAACAAAATCTAAAGGAGCCAAAAACAGAAAAACAAAAAAGCTAAAAACAACAAAAACAAATCACTGGTTATATGTCAAGAAAAAACCTTAGCAGAAGCTCCAGGAATCTGTTTCAGATCTTCACGAGTTTGGCCGCGGCTACTGCTTTCCTCACACTTAATGGGATTGAGTTGCTCTGTTTTACTTGGAACTGAGGCCTCCTCACCAGAACCTCCAAATGAGCAGCTCTCTAGCATTTTATCTTCTTCCAATGATTTGCTGTCTGGTCGACCACTGCTTGTGGAGTTGGAATAGCTATTTGTTGTGGTATTAGATACAAGGTTTTGATCTTTCTTGTTGAACTGTGTAGCTGCTGCTCGTGCACCTGCAATGGCTGCACTGAGACCTTCAGATTTCTCCACAACAGATGCTTTATTGTCAGAGAATCCCACAGAAATAGAACCCGGTTTCAAGGAAAAGGGATCTTGAGGATTTGGGAGAGGGAATTTTACTGGCATTGGACCTTTAACAGGGACAAGACCTCTAATTGCAGCCTCATGGATCTGTGAGACACGAATATGTTAATCCCAAGCATAGGTCAAGACATTTAACTTTGATGTACTGCATATACCTTCCTTTCCAAGTTATAAACGCCTTGATACCCTCGCATCTCAAATAAATTTTGAACCAGAAACCGGACCAAACCAAACCGGACCCAATAAACAATTTAAAAAAATTATACTATAAATAGTTAACCTAACCTAACCGGCTAACCCTAACATAACAATAAATAACCCGCCTCTCTGCGCGTCTCACAGAAGCTGCCTCCTTAGTCCTTTCAATAGAAATTCCTCTCTCAATTAATCTCCAATCTTCCTTTTCAGATACTGAAATATCTAGTTTGGAATTGCTATCAAGATATGAGAGTGAAGACTCAAAAACTGAAGTTTACAGCATTGTTAGCGTCCATAAGAAGAGATCAAATTCTCTTTTTGCTGGAGATATTTTGGATCAGAGAGTCGGTTGGCCCCTACTTCAAAAAGTGAATTCAGCTATTCCACCGTACTATGTCCAGCAACTATATGTCTTACAGTGGGCAAAGACTTTACCGGATTGCTCCTCTCCATAAAATCCTTAAATTTCAAATTTTGAAGAAAGTTGTGAATGGAAGCCAATTTTTTTTAAAAAAAAAGCAAAAAAAAAAATTCATATATAATGGAATTAGATTTCTTGTTTTTTTATCAAAAAAACCAGATTTAACCGAACTGGATTTGTTCGGTTCGAACCAATTCGGTTAATATTTTATAAAATTATTATAATTCAATTTGATTTGTTTTTTAAATCTAAATCAAACCAAATCGAACCGTGAGCACTCATATTTCTAACAATCTCTCAAGACATAGTTACAGGAAATGATCGACCAGCCTAAAAAGGTTCAAGAAAACACTCTTCATATCATCCAAGGATTTAAAATCCAAGGACTTAAAGACGAGGCTACAACATTGCTTAAAAACCAAGAACACTATCATAAGCATACACCGGAGAAACTTAAAGGTATGATTAAATCAGTTTGTAAAACTTTTGTTGGTTATGATTACGTAGAATAAGCTATGGATCCGTTTGAAAATGACTTAGATAAATGGTATGATGCTAAAGCAAAAGCTAAGGTCCAAAAGGATCAAGCAATCAAGAAACCCGGTCAGAAACATACCGCGGTCACTGCTTATAAAGCAGATGAGGTTTATAGAGATACAAATCTCTATGAATATTTAGCTAAAGACATGTATGGAATGGCATACCAGTCCACCAATAAATTCTGCACCTATAAAAGTATAGAAGGAATCATTGCTAGAATCATTGATAGTAATGTAACCACAGCTCAAGATAGAATCTTGATAGCTCAAAATAATTTCATTATTTTTGCCGTAGGAGAGATTTATGCAATAGTCAAAGCATTAGAAGTGTCAGAAGCCAAAAAATTAGCACCTTCTGCCCCTCCTACGCCGCAGCAAAAAGAATCGTTGTTTAATATAACCAACGAGCCCAAAGGTAAAGAAGTTAATTATGATGCCCCAGAGGCCCATAATGAAAAAGAAAGATGGCAACATGTAGAATCACAGATTCTAGCCCAAAGGACACATCTATAATATAGATCGAAACATCGAATATATTAAAGAAAGACTTGATAAACTCAACATGAGTGATGCAGGTAAAGTAGAAGATACACTCAAAGAAGTTATAGGTGGTCCACAAACCATACCAGGAGTAAAGGAAAGCACAGCTTTAGCCCTTTACAAACCACATTTAGGCAACACATATACACAGTATAGTCAGAGTCAAGTCAACAAAATTTTTGATAAAAAAGGGAAATGTCCGAGAAAACAAGATGGACCTATTAGCCAAAAAGGCCACATAAAAAATGTTAGATTATCTAATTGGCTCTACAAATAGTAAAGATTCTAACAAGATAACAGCCAATAACGCTAAAGAAATCTTCACAAGAAACGAACCACAGCATACTTTTCAAGCAGGTGTTAGATTTCTTCCACCTCCACCAATAATGTATCCATATGACTTAGACTCAGAGGCCCGGAAGATATACACAACAGTGCAAAGAAGGTTAGAAACCTTCCACAACATCAAAGAGGTTACAGGTATTATCCAAAATGAGGAGAAGTTAAAGAAGATTGACAAATGTCAACAACAACATATGACCCTGTGTCAACTCAAAACGCAGAGCGTTTCAAAAGTCTCTTCAACATGCCAAAGGTAAGTTTGCTTGGACAAACTATATCCGAGCAAGGAACAGGTTCACAGAACCAAAGTAAGGTACGAAAACCAAGAAATCTATTACAAAAACTATTTTCTACAGGTCATATGGTCCAAGACATAGCCATGGATCAAATAGTAGATGTCAACACAGACTGGGAAACATCCAAACAAGGTATGTTAACCCTTGTTCCTCCCAAAACCCTATATGCAAAAGACGCTTTCTTAAATACGACCTCGTTTTTAAGTAAGCAAAGAGAATTTACTCTAGCATGTCCAGATGGAAAAGTTCAAACTTTTGACCTTATCCATCCTGAAACTATTAGGAAAATCCTAGATAGAAAAGAAGTGTTTACACACTTAGGACTAATAGCAGTCGGTCTAAAAGGACTTACATGAAAAGGTCACGGAGCACATGCTCTTATAGTCACCCATGATTCAAGATGGACAGACGACCTTAAACTGACAATAATGACCCTCATAGAAGTCGATATGACAAACAATCGAGGACTATTTTATGTAGCCCCCGATATGATAATTCCCACAGCGGAATTAGGAAAAACCACAATCTTCATAATGTCTCAAGGTTATGGAAATTTTGAAGGTACTAATTTAGTAGCCTGTATAAATGTTCTAGGAAAATGCACCCATAACACTTCTATCAACTATAAAGTTCAGATAGATGACCTTATCGAAGCCATAACATTGAAAGGTGTTACGTTTATAAAACCCTATCAAAAAGATTCTAGAGAATCAGAAGGATTACCTTGGGATTTAGCAAAGCTGATAGTAACCGAAAATACAGTAAGGTTACCAGCTCAGGTAAACTATTTCAATACCTCCTTTGATGACGATAACCTACAGGTTAGATTCTCTGGATATAAGAACATAGCCTTGCCCCCAACTGATGATGACAACATCTCAGAATTCTCTCAAGATGAACAACATCAATAATATAAAGTTAAAGCAAAGCTGCTTTAAAGATACAATTGGAGGATATACTCATTTCCAATCCTATCTAATGTCAATTAGGATACCGAGAAACGGAACTCCCTTCACTATAAGTGACAGTATAGCAGAAAAATACTTTGATGATGAGCAAGTTGCTAACATCATAATAGAAGAACATCTTCGAGTTGAACAAGCTCAGATAGAATATTATAAGCAAAAAGCTCAATACCTAATAAGAGTATACAATAAGTTTGTAGAAGACACAAAGACTAGCTTTGATCTTTCTGACCATAAGGTAGATGATTCTATAAGAATCGCCAAGATAGAAAAAATTTCGATAGAAACTCAACATTAGGTAGGAACAATAGAGAAAACTCTTCAGAAGCCAATGGTGCCAGAACTACCAAAAGCAAGAGTTAAAATAAAACATCCTGAACAAGAGCCCCCTTCTACAGAAGAAAAGGTTACAGGATGGTTACAAGACTACCAAAAGCAAAAGAAAAGGTTACAGGATGGTTACAAGACTGCTTTTTAATGGATAAACAGATACCCACTAGATACCCACTAGAGAGATGATAGAAAATCTATCAGTTACTGAATCCAGTAACCATAGTTTTAAACCTCTTTTAGAAAGAGATATGATGGATTCAAAACCTTGGCATTCGCCATTAAACGATCCGTCAAAGCCTTCTACATCAACATATGATTGGGGAAATCCTCCTAGAAGACCGTATACAGAATATGATGATGGAGCCCCAAAATAAAAATGCAAAGGATCTAGAAAGCCCATAGAACAGGCCCATGAAATAGGACCATTAAGATTAGGTCAATATGACCCCCAAAATTGGGATAGTGTCCTAGAAAATTGGAAGAGTCGAGTACTAAATGACTATCTATCCAAAGGATTCAATCATAGTGCTCAAGATATGTATAATTATCTAGAAACTCAGTTATCCGAAACAGCAAAGCTGACATGGGATAATTATAAACAGGAATTTCCCATTAAGTAGCTTTGATAAATCTTGGAGCTTACCCTCACAATTTTGTGAATACTAATAGTAACCTTATGACAGGTAACGACCCAAACATGGGAGGTAGATTTATAAAATCTACGTCTGTAAGACAATTAGAGCAATTACCTTTAAATGATTGGTATCATGTCCAATACCTTCTACTAGATTATTATGCCTTAGCAGCCAAAGCTCAAGCATTCTATCACCCTCTTATCAAAGAGAAGATATTTATGAAATTACCAGGTGCTTTAGGTGAAGAAATTCATAAAGCATTCAAGGATTTCATAAAAGGGAAAGAGTCATCTGAAGTAGATGGCGTACCCTATAGGTGTTGGGTTATAATGCAGTACCTCCAAAGGAAGTGTACTGAAATTCAAATACAGAAAACTGTAAAAACTGGACATAAGTGGTGTAGGAATATCTATACACCTCAACAACATGGTACGATAGAATCCTAGCATACACGCAGAAAACAGCAAAAAGCTAGAAAGAAGTCATCTAGACCTCGTATTCCTAAAAGAAAAACTTATAGCCTCAGAAGATCAAATAAACGGAAACCCTTTTTAGATCCTCGAAAGCATGTTAGGAAATATAAACCTGACAGGACTTATAAGTCCAATATTAGATGTTTTACTTGTGGACAAACAGGTCACATGGCAAGAAGCTGCCAAAAGGCTAAACATCAATATTCAATGGAAGCACAGTTCATTGATACTCAATAGTAAGTATAACTGCTCAAGACTTCATTGATCTAGCAGATCAAATTCCCCAAGAAGAATCCTCTCCAGAAAATGAAGAAGATGACTAAATAACGTCACAGGATAACCACTGGTATTTTGCTCAAGCTCCTCAATTTAATTCCATGTTTATGGCCCTCAACAGAGAATAGAGCCCAATGCATGAGTTGTTTGCAAAATATTTGTAAAATACGTGCCGC